GGGGGGGGACTTTTAACACCTTCTGAATTGAGGGTTTGAAAAGTGGGCACTAATTGAATTTTCAAGATCCTTATTTGCTATTTATTGATGAAGGGGTTTACCTACAAGTAATTATATGTAAACTTTGGCATTTCTTTTGCCCATGCTGAAGCCTTTTCTTCCATTGAATGCAAGGATCCATGGGCCATGTATGTTTGTAGTCAATTGTTTACTATATATTTTTTGTTTGTTTGTTTGTTTAATTTGAGAGAGAGAGTGAGTGAGAACGAGTGGGGGAGAGAGGCAGAGGGAAAGAAAGAGAATCCCAAGCAGCGTCCACATTCAGCATGGAGCCCAACATGGGGCTTGATCCCACAACTGCAGGATCATGACCTAAGGCCAAAACCAAGAGATGGACACTTAACTGACTGAGCCACCCAGGCACCCCTCCAGTTTGTGGGATTTTAATTTTAGGGTCAAAATGGAGTTTAAATGTTTAAAACTGAACTGAGAAATGGCTTAAAAAATATTTTATTGGTTTTAATCTTTTTTATTTTTTTGGAAATACACTTATATTATTAGTTAAATTATGTGTGTTACTTTAGGTTATGTTTCCATCATTACTTCTGCCTATTGGCAGTATTAACATACTGTGAACATTTGTAAAATTAAATTCAGATCACTATGGCTTTAGATATGACTTTAACTTTTTAGGATGTCATATGTCAAAAACAGAACTTTGTCTTAAACCTTTCCATTATCACAGTGGGTCCTTACCATCTCCAATTATTCATATATTGTTTTTAATTTTTGAAGTCTCATTATCTTCTCATTTTTACATTCCTTTTAGATGAACCATTAGTAATAGGCTAAGTTAGAAAGAAGACTTTTTTAAAAATTTATTTATTTTGAGAGAGAAAGAGTACGCATGAGAGCACGTGAGTGGAAGAGGGGCAAAGAAAGAGGGAAAATCCCAAGCGGCCCCCTGCACCGCCAGCGCAGAGCCCGATTTGGGGCTCGGACCCATGAAACTAGGAGATCATGACCTGAGCTGAAATCAAGAGCCAGATAAGCTTAATCAACTGAGCTACCCAGGCACCCTTAGAAGGAAGACTTTTAACCGGCTCTTCTAGAATGGAGGAATTTCAGGGGTGGTGGTGACAGTGATGTTTTTTACTGTACAGTAGCTTAATATTATAGGATCTCTGCTACATTAAGCAACAACCAAAAATACATGTACAAGTTACCAGAAGAAAATGTGACCAAACCTACTAGGAAGGTAACCTTCTGAAAGCAGTTGTTAGTGTAGGGTCAAACTGAGTGAAGGCTTCTGTACTCCAGTAACGTGCTACTGGGTCTTTATCCCGAATGGTGTGCCCCATTTATTGCACATTAAAAGCATAACAGATAAATAATAAAAAAAATAAAAAAATTTTTAAAAAAAGCATAACAGACAACCAGAAAGATGCCTCATTTTATTTCTTTACTCCTTTTCAAAGATTTTTTTTTAATGTTTATTTATTTATTTTGAGAGAGAAAAAGAACAGAGGAGGGCCAGAGAGAGAGAGAGAGAGATTGAGAATCCCAAGCAGGCTCCACGCTGTCAGTGCAGAGCCCAACATGGGGTTCCATCTCTTGAAGCATGAGATTGTGACCTGAGCTGAAATCCAAGAGTTGGATACTTAACCAGCTGAGCCACCCAGATGCCCCATCTTTATTCTTTTTGTATATATTGTATGTATGCAGTCCTCCATTTTCTTAATAATCCCCAAAAAGGGTTGGGGTTTTTTTTTCCATTGCTTTTCTTGAATATTTTTAGGCATTTATTGGAAATAATTAAACATTCAAAGCATGAATTATTATGTATGTATGTTTTAAATCATACATAAAATAGTATTTTAAATTAGAAATAGTGCTTTACCTCCATTTATTTCATGAACAAATTTATTCAGATCTCGAATAAATCTTTGACATCAGCATTTTTTCCCATCTTTCCTACCACTTTCTGGGTCATCTAATAAATAATATTCCAGAACCCAACATATATATATACCTACCTAGTGCATTTAAGATGCACACATTTAAGATCATATGGGCGTCCTTCATGAAGCTTTTACTAAAAACTGAGGTCTGAGTAGCATAGGGCAGGTGTGTGTGTGTGTGTGTGTGTGTGTGTGTGTGTGTGTGTGTGTCTTAATTTATCTTGTGTTTTATGATCTCCAGGATGACTGACGTGATCCTTAAAATGCTTGTTAGTTAGCAGGAACATCCAGTGCTAAAATGTTTTAAGTCTATTTGTGACCTCTTTATGCCTCCCAAACTAGCACCCTTAGATAATATTCGATTAATAGGTCTTCTCCAAACAATATTTTGTTGTTTAAAGTGAAGCAACTCCTCATAATAGGAAGGAGTCTATAGAGAATCAAACATAAAGTAACACCTTCTTTTCTGATGGACACTTTCAAGAAAACACTTGACTTATATTTAGGAATATATATTACTTAGCTGTATTACACATTTGAAACTCATTAAAAAGGAAGTCATTTAACACAGTTGACTCTTGAACAACATGAGTTTGAACTGCGTGGGTCCACTTAAATGTGAGTTTTTTTCAATAAATACAGTACTGTAGATATATTTTCTCTTACGATTTTCTTAATGTTTTCTTTTTTTTTTAATTTATTAATTTATTTTGAGACAGAGCAGGGGAGGGGCAGGGAGAGAGAGGGAAAGAGAATCCCAAACAGGCTCTGCACCTGTCAGTACAGAGCCCGACATAGGGCTCGAGCCCACAAACCATGAGATCATGACCCAAGCTGAAACCAAGAGTTGGATGCTTAACCCACTGAGCCACCCAAGTGCCCCGACATATTCTTTGTTTTAGCTTACTTTATTATAAGGATGTAGTATATAATACATATATAAAATATACGTTAATCAACTATGTTATAGGGAAGGCTGTGGTCAAGTGTAGGCTATTAGTAGTAAGTGTTGTGGGACTCTAAATATGTGTGTGGAATTCTGACCTTGTAGGGGGTTGGTGCTCCTATCCCCCACATTGTTCAAGGGTCAACTGTACTTTTATTAATGATAAAGTATGTAATACTTCCTCTGTCTTTTATGCACACGTTAATGTATGAATAGTGGCATTTCCTATTTCATTATCTTTTTTGTTCTCATTAATTTGTTTTTATGTAGATCCCTTTGATTTGAATCACAATCTTGGAGCTGGATTATCGAGGAAAAGTAAGTTGCTTTGTTTATAAATGTTAATGTGGTCCCTTTTCCTTTTAATCCATCTAACTGAGCACTTTTAACTCTTTTCTTCTCAGTGACAAATTTTATAATGAAAGCATTTATTAATGGTAGAAGAGTGTTTGGTATTCCAGTCAAAGGATTTCCGAAGGACTACCCATCAAAAATGGTAAGTGTCCATTGGAAATACCAAAAAACAATTCTAAAAGCCTTTATTAGGGCACCTGGGTGACTCCGTTGGTTAAGCATCTGACTTCAGCTCAGGTCACGATCTCATGGTTCATGAGTTCGAGCCCCGCATCAGGCTCTGTGCTGATAGGTCAGAGCCTGGAGCCTGCTTCAGATTCTTTGTCTCCCTCTCTCTCTCTCTGCCTCTCCCCCAAGCATGCTCTGTCTCTCTCCCAGAAGTGAATAAACATTAAAAAATACTTTTTTTAAGTTTATTTGAAAAATAAATAAAAAGTAAAAGCCTTTATTAAGCACCTAATTTGTACACATGACTCCAGTAATAAATACTCTTGAAAGTCTGGCGAAGCTAGCCAGGATAAACAGTTGCAATACAAAATAATCCCTAAAACCTTTTTCTAAACATCCCAGTTCTGAGGCCATTTATCAGGAGAACAGGGAGAAACAGCCACACGTGGAATTTGGGTGGGAAAATAGGCCTTTTGGCGCTGCTGCTTTTCCTTGGTAACGCACATAGATGGCACTGCTGTTCCAGCAGCATTCAGCTCCGTGCCAGCCTGTGCCAAGCCCAGCTCGCACACAGCTAAGGGTCCTCCACCTGCTCATATGAAGTCTAGATCCTTCAGTCTACTTGAGAGTAATGCATCTCTTAGTGGGACCAGGAGAGAGACAGTGTCACTTGTGCTGGCAAGCTCGCTGGTGTCCTATAACCTAATACTCAAGATTTTTATGGGACCAGACTCATTAAAAACAAAGCCAGATTGCACAAAAATTCCCTTCAGTGAGCAAAAACTAGAGGGTTTTCTGTTAAAAATAAATTTTTTTTTTCCTTCACTAATTTTCTTTATAAAGACTTTTTAAACGAGCCTGAAGCATATGAGTGTATTAAGAGTATGGGGGTATCCTCAGCACTGGATTGTGTCTGTGCGTCTCGTTTTGGCTAGATATGCCATGGCTGCCCTCTACGCCAAGGCTTCTGAAACTTGATCCAGCAGATCTCCTTGGGGGTTTTGTCCTTGGGGATTCTAATCCAGGGGATTGGGGTAGGGCCCAAGACTTGGATTTCTTACAGGCTCTCAGGTGATGGCCGTGCTCCCTTCCGGTCCTCACCTTAATTTCAGTGGCAAGGAGGCTTCACTCCAGCCATTGTCTTCCCTTCCTTCTGATATGTTTCTCCAAAGCCACAACAAAACAAAGCAACAACACATGGCTCCTTTCTTTTGCTCTATGTAGTCTGTGTAATGCAAATCATAATCCTCAATTTTTGGGGGTCTAGCCTTTTCATTTTATGAGGAAGTGAAGCCTTCTTAGCTGGCCGCGGCTTCCCCCGCGTCCTGGGGAAGCTGACTCACGGGCATGTGTGATGCTCTCGTGTAGAAATGTCCTGGAAAAACAGGCTCCCTTTATGGTTAGGGTGAAACTGTGGGCCGCAGGATGAAAAGGAATAAACCAACATGAAATTTAGGTAAAACTGTCCCTAAGCAGTATAGTAATCGTTATTCAAAAGAAGTTTTCCGATCGATACCTGGTTAGTTGTTGTGTTTTGACCTCACATTAATCGTTCATAGTTTTCTATATGTATGTTCCGCTAGGAATACTTTTTTGATCCAGAAGTGCTAACTGAAGGAGAGCTGGCACCAAATGATAGATGTTGCCGAATTTGTGGGAAAATTGGACACTTCATGAAGGATTGTCCTATGAGGAGAAAGTAAGTCCGTGTTCAAAAGGGGTGGTTCTGTTTTACTTTCTTATTGTACCAATTTTTAAATGAGGTTCTGTTGTAACAGAAAATAAACTTGTGTTAAATCCAGCAGTTCTCAGATAAATGATTTTTTGCAATGAATATGAAGTGATTTAAAACACGCCTTTAAGCACGGATGACCAGAAGTCCCTCGAGTTTCCAGATAACAGTCTTCCAGGCCTGGTCCCCTTTCCTCATTTTGGTCACTGCCCCAGTTGTTACTCAGCCATTCGGTCACCGGCCTCTCCAACAGGGGTGAAAGAAGAGATGAGAAAAGTGAAATGAGTTCCTTCAGGACATCAGTGACACTTCCAGTATACAGGAACTGAGCTGTACCAGACTCGTCTACAGTTTATTGCCAGATAGGACCCTTCACTTGTATGCAGTTTAACCCTTAATAATTGCCGTGGCGAAGCCGCTCAGTTTGGTCACCATGCTTCTGGTGATGTTTGCAGGAGGGTCGGGGAGGGGGGAGGTTTGGGTTGCTTGCTTGGGACGAACTGTTGTTTTGGGTGGTGTGGTCTTAGCTGGACAATACTCATTTAAAAAACATGCTACTTAAAATAAGGCACCATCTAGAATTTGAGGCTCTTATTTAGTAGTTTGGTTTTTTATTGAGATAATAGTCACTGATCACTGATACAACAAGAAAGAAATGTTTTTAACGTTTTAAGAACATAAATCTCCTAACCCTTGTTTCCTTGTGAACTGGAACTTCCATGGCTTAAATTTCTAGTGCCTAGTAAAGGATGGGCCGCAGAATTTCAAGAATTCACCCCAAGGAGAATTCGAGTTTCATCACATCCGTATCACAGTAGGGTACTAAACCAGGGAGTTCCACTAACTGCAAACCCTGGTTTTATGGCACTAGAGTAACTGTGAAAATCAAAAAGAAAACCTACACCATCACCCTGAGGTTGCTTCTTGATAGAGCAGACGGACTTACATTTGTTACATTCTTGTTTTTCCCTCTGACACTTTCTGTTTCTGGTCCTCTCCCAAACCTGGAGTGCTCTTAATATTTGGTCAGGTGTCTGTCTAGATTTTTCCTACTGGTGTTATATCATCTTCTAGAGTGAGGCGGCGGCGTGATCAGGAAGATACCCTGAACCAAAGATACCCTGAGAACAAAGAGAAGAGGAGCAGAGAGGACAAAGACATTCAGAACAAGCACACAGAGAGGGACGTGTTGACAAAAGAAGAGAAGCCCGTGCAGTGCACGCCTCAGAAAGCCAAGCCAGTGAGGACAGCTGTCGACCTGGGCAGAGAGAAAATCCTCAGGCCACCAGTGGAAAAATGGAAGAGGCAGGATGACAAAGACTTACGAGAAAAACGTTGTTTTATTTGTGGAAGAGAAGGGCACATTAAAAAGGAATGCCCGCAATTTAAAGGCTCTCCAGGTATGGATACCGGTCATACCTCGATGTTTGCCCTCGCATCTCAAGGGAAATCTCTCTTTTAAAGTCCTTTACTATTTTAGATATATTTATTTCTTTAACAAACCTACTTACTGAGGAAGATTTCGTTTTGAAGAAAGCGAACCCTCCCTCTCCTTTAACCCTGACCCTCTAGATGTCTTAAACTTATTCCCGGTTTCATTTAGAGGCTTATAAAAGTCATTTGGTTGACTTTTCTAAGATGATCAGTGAATGGAAAACCCAGTCATCCCCAGTGCCTAGAAACCCTAGCCTGAGTGACCAGAAAACATGCCGCCGCTTGAGCTTCACTTCTCAGTAGGTGCACTTTGGAAGTGATTGGCCATGGGGGAGGCACAGCAGAATCATGTCAGGACCCCAAGCGGTGGATAGCGAGCCACTTGTACTTCTCTTTACCTGTGTACATGCACATGCCTAGAAAAGGCACTGAAAGGAACTCTGTTACACGGCGACTGGTGGTTCTAACCGCGGAAGAGAGGAGGATGTGACTGTTTTAATACTTTCCTGCAGCAAGCAGAGTTATTCTTACGATGAGGAAAGATAGATGACCAGTCCATACTTGAAAATCATCCATACTTCTTGTCCCTTTGAGTTGTTGGATCTGCATTGACCCTTTCTATTAAATGGGTAAAGTGTCCACTTTGGGCATCTTTTTAACAGACTGTTAGCAGTGGGGGTACCTTCTGTGTACGTATAAAAAGTTAGGATTGACAGAGCGGTTTACACACCCTCACTTTGTTTTTCCGAACAAACCTGAGAGAGTGGATGGAATCTGATTGGCATAGAAGAGAAACCCGGGGAAGTCATTTTCTAAATTAAAGTAGTAACCTTTCATGTTTGTCCTCAATTGCATATGTGTATGGACAGTGGAAAAAAGTCAGCACTGCTGACAATTCCCTTAAAGTACTCTACGGTCATTGTCCCTGGAACACTCGTACCTCTCTTCCGTTTTATTATATCATAGCAGCAACATAGTGTCTCTTTTTTTAAAGACAAGATTTTTAGAGCACTTATTTTTTTTTAAAGGAGCTTTATATGGAAAGTATATTTTTAAATTATTTAATTATTGGTTTTAAAATAGGACTTCAGTGTTTATGGAAGTTACAGCTTGCCCTGCTTCTATGGCACTCAGACAAATTTAAATTCAAACTCGTTGTGCCCTGACGTGCTACATAGACCAGATCTTTTATGATTATAAGAGTAAATCTATTTAAGAGAAATCAAAATAATAGCCATAGCTAACGTTCACTCAGTCGGGCACTATTTTAAGTACTTTACGCGGGCAGTCTCTTCTGATTTTCTCCCCAGCCCCATGAGATGCGGTATCGATAACCCCAGTTTACAGATGAGGAAACTGGAAACAGCATAGATAAGACGTAATGAAGTTCGACCAGTTATTTTTGTAGACCCTTCTGAAGAACGGGCGGTGTGTGTTTACTAGTAGCACGAAGCACATTATCATCATGCTCCTCTTGGCTACAACACAGAGGTGAAGGGATGCCCCTGCATCCCCCCAGCTTTGATGGGTTTCTTCCTCCCAGTTGGTAGCAAGTTCTACGTTGTCTACTAGTGAAGTTCTCCAGGTAGAGCGGTGCTTCTGGAAGGCTGCAGGGGCAGTAGCAGCAAGTCAAGGAGAGCCAGGGGGATCCCGGGGCAGGGATGGGTAGATAGGAAGGGGGGAGTGGGAGTAGAGAATGGGGCGTTTCCTCCAGCAGCAACTCAGAGTAAATCAGTTGCTTCTTCCTGTCCGAAAATTATGCTGCCCCCTCTCGTTTCTTCAAATACGTTATTTTGTCCACGCAGTATACTCAGTGGGAACTTCTGTCACATCCACAGAAAAATGTTCTGTGAAAGTTTGAAAACAGGGCTACTGCTTTCATTTTACAGTGAGAACAAAAAGTGCTAATTTTTCCCTCAGGTATGTCTAAATCAGATTGTGTGTTTGGATCCCCTCCTCCACCTAGTCCCTTGAGACCAACTGGCACATTTGCTCAGGTAAACCTAGCTCAGCCCTGAGCAGGAAGCCCTTGGCTCATCTGTCTGTCAGCACGCACTTCCCTAGTGCTAGTCCTCGGCGAGGTGCTGGGCGCCCCAGGCCCTGGCCTCTTCCTTCTGGCTAACGCTCCTGGCTCCTCCCTCAGCACCCCCGCGCCGCGTGTGGTGAGGCTTGCTGTGTGCCGGTGGCAGGGGCGCTTCCAGGGCTCCTGAGTCTCTGTCTTGCTTTTCAATTAACCTGCAGAGTTCTGCCTTCCACACGCCTAATTTCAGCCCTCTCTGGATATGGTTACGGTTTTAAGGCTGTTTCAGATGCTCTTCCTTTCGATTTTGTAAACCAGTCTATTTCATTTTTTAGGCAGTGCTTTTACATGAAGACAAAAAGAAACAAAAAACAACCATATTTTTGAGTCCCCAGTCAGGTATGTGGGTTTAAAAAACAAAAAAAACAAATGTGTGTTATTTTATTTATTGCATAGTTTACCACATGCCTTTTGAGATGCTTCCTTTGAGTATGTGGTTTTAACAGGGACTGGACGTCAGAATCACTTGGGGAACTTTTACAAATACAGCTGCCCTCCCCCCACCCTTCAGAGGTTAGGCTTGAGCCTGTGCTCTAAGGTGGTTCCTATATCATCCCTAAGTAAGAACCATAGCCTTTAATTATTTGTTCCTCTTCCACGCTTTTTGTTTCTGATTTGAAATTGCCACTGTCTTGTCAGCAGTATGTTCTCCTCATGAGACTATCTACCATACACAAAAGTAAGGAAAGAAAGAAATTGTTGGCCTGAACTCCTCTCTCTCTCTCTCTCTCTCTCTCTCACTCTCTCTCTCTCTCTCTCTCTCTCTCTCTCTCTCTCTCTCTCTCTCTCTCTCTCTCTCTCCCTCTCCGCCCCCCTCCCTCTCCTTCTCTCGGCTGCATCATTTATTCATTCCTTCAACAAATAGTGATTAAGCCACCACCCCCCTACCGCCCAGCCTCTAAGCACAGAATATGGGCCTCAACACTGACGATACAGCAGTGGACCAGCCCCTTCTCTCATTTACTCCACATCCTTGTCAGAAGAGAGGTGTAAATATTCCCTATGGCAACAGGTGCTAAGAAACACAAAGCAGGGAAGGGGAAGGGAATGCTGGATAGGACTGTGGCGTCTCTGATGAAGTAACATTTACACAAAGAAATAAAAAGAGGGGCAAGTTAGGGGAAGTTGGAGTTAGACTGTTACCACAGAACGAAAACCACATTGTCCCCCCGTGTCACTGAGTGACGTGAGCAGGGAGGGGTGGTAGGCGAGGTCAGGGTAGATGGATCTGGATCATGAGGTGCCTTGAGCGCTGGCAGGGATGGCTTTCTTTCTCTCCATGAGATGGACAGCTTTTGGAGGCTTTGGAGCACAGGCGGTATTGTGGGAATTCTGATGGCAAAGGTTCCCGTTGTAAAAGTCTGCTGGGCAGAGGTGAGGGTGGCAACAGAGCCACGAGGAGGCTCCTGCTGGAGCTTAGGGGAGAGCCGGCACTGGCTCACACTCAGGTGGAAGCAGCAGGGGACTCGAGGACTGGTCACGCTCTGGATATTCTGAAGGTGGTGCCAACATGGTCTGTTGCTGGGTCGGATGATTGCGTAGGACAGAATGCACCCGAGATGACACTACGATTTTTGGCCTGAGCAACTAGAAGACCAGAAGTGGGACTTCCTGTGCAGAGAAAGGGGAAGAACAGATTTGGGCACAAAGAGTCCAGCCTTAGCCATGTAAATTTGGCCGCTGGGTGTTTGAGTAGAGATGCCAGGTAGCCAATGAGATGTATGAGCTGGGCGTTCAGAGCAGAGGCCTAGGCTGAAGATAGAGACTTGAGTATTGTCAGGGCAGAGATAGTATTTGAAGGCCTGGGTAGGAGTGGGATCGCCTCCAAGGTAAACACAGAACAAAAAGAGAAAAGCATTTAGAGGCTCAAAATAAACAAAGGAGACTGACAGAAGACGGTCAGTGAGGGAACAAGTGAGCCGGCTCCTGGAGTCCAGTGGAAAAGGGGCCTCAGAGAAGGGCTTGGCCATGTGTGGGTGCTGCTGCTGGGAAGTCTGGGGCGGTGTAGACTGATCAGTAAGCATTGCATGTGGCAGTGCAGAAGTCACCAGTGAGTCGGAAAAGAGCCCTGCCTCTGGAGTGGAGAGGACAAAAACCTGATTGCAGGGATTTCTGGTGAGAAGCGCTGGAACCAGTCTGGGCAACCAGACCTCCCAGCATCCTTTCCGGCCTGCCAGGCCTGTGGACCAGATGCTCCAAGGACAGCAAGATCAGGAGGCTCTGAAGGCCCTTCTGGTGTTCAAGTATGCTTTTGATCCTGAAAGGGAAGGGGAGAAATTGAGGGGGGTGGGAGGAAAAACAAAGTAACTTTAATATACTGAGACACTTTTTTAGCTTTTTTTAGTAAGAAGGGATGAAACTTTAAACTTGATACAAATATTCTGAGTTCTGGCCTGAAGACCCACCCTCTTAGTAACTTTGCCGTGTGTGTGTGTGTGTGTGTGTGTGTGTGTGTGTGTGTG